AATAACGATCCAGATTTTGGATAACGTTACTAGCAGAAGTGGTTGTGAAATTACGATATAACGATTAAAGGAATAAATTTTGAATAAGTACTTAAAAATGCCGTCGTACGTCACCTATCAAGATCACTGCGGCCGTGTGACTTCTATTATCTATTTATTTAGATTTTTGTGCATAGGACTTATTCGTAAATCATAATAGCCTAAAACTAGAATATTATATCAATATAATATAATTATTTGTGTAAATATAAAGTTCTATGTCTTGTGGTGAGTGTAATATTTGACTAGAGGCGGGCGGTGGCCGTGCGAGTACTATCGCACGCGGCAGTTAGAACCCCAATACCCTCTACCACACAGAAAAATTTCAAAATTTACTATCCTTTGTAGATTTAAACAGTATCCAAGGTAAGATACTGAGAAGTCCATTTTATCTTAATACAATCGCTACCTTACCAAAATTTAGAACATTTATTTATGAAAAACAATTAGTCCTTTTATACTTTTCAATTTCTAAAATAAGTACGATAAAATTAGTTGTAAGTGATTAACTAATTGTAAAACTGTGTGGGGCAAGCTTAACTCTGAGCTCACTATCGACAGAGTGAATAAGAGTGTGGAAGCTTCATGCAAGCGACTCGTAATGCACGTACACTAGTGCGGGCCTCACAATACAGTACCAAATGAAAAAATAACGCAGTGACCGCATTGGTAGTACTAAATATCGCGTTATTTACTCTGACTGCTACTGTAGGTGAACCCCGTGCTTGTGTGCGTGCGTTGCGAGATACTTGTATTGAGCTTCCGCATTCCCGTTCACTCTGCTATCGATGATAAAATATGCCAAATTATGTGTCAGTTCCCGGTGATGATATTTTTATTACAATTTTCTATTGATAATTATGCGTAACTTTCATAACAAGTGGATTATATTTAGCGTCTAATAAGCTTATATATATTATTATAATGTTATTCCAAGTCATTATACAAATGTACTATATATGCAAGTATTATGTAATGCAAATATAATATGCATTACAAAACGGACGGAAATGTATGGATATCAAATGTTTAACTATTCATTTTTAAGCATTTAGTAAGAAATTCTACTTTATATCAAGTGACAACTCCAATTTGCGCGCCTGATATAGGTAGTTCAAAATATGAAACCTAACAAGCAAAAAAAGTTTTTTTTTTATTAAAAAAGAGCGATTGTAAGCAGGCATTTAGCAGGTTAGCACTATCCAATTTTGATGGTTCTGTGGATAGTGGACTCAGAGTTATTTGTGTATTTTTATAAATAGCGTAGGTTTCGTTATATAAGCAGTTATTAATTTGAATTACTTTAATGACATTATTTTAACATTTATACGATTAATATGGAAACATTGTACATCTTTGGTATTTTGAACGCTTCTTATAAAAATACTAGTGAAGCAACAGCTTCCAGTATTGCCAATATTACGCCGTTGGCCCAAGAAGGATTTCGATTAGGGCGAAAACGGCATATAATTTTTGTTGGCTTTGCCGTAGCAAGCTGTTGCATTCTTTTACCTCTTGTCGTCTTACCAGGGTAAAGAATCCGCCCGCGCACACGCATTAACATCTAAGGTATTTCAGTATTATTTTTAAATTTATATTGGTACCTTTGATTATGAACCTATTTTTTCTGTAGAAATTACACTAGTTTTGTATTATGTCAACTCGCGCTCCTTCCACTGTTGGCTCCCAACGCGATACATCACATTTATTGTATTTAACACCTTAACACGAATAATTTATATATTTGTATATGTATAGACACATATGCACAAAATAAAGCTACGAAAGCGCGATCTTGAAAATTGACTTTGCTTTGATGCATTAGATCCGCTCGCACAAATTATTTTTAATTTTTTAAGCCCCCGAGCAATGAAAGTTTTTAATAATGCTTTCATTTAAATGTAACATTTTGATATAAGTAATTATATCCATGTTTCCCTGGTCTATTTAACCAAAACGCCACATTTTTATACTTAAATAATTACAACAGAACACGTCGTATTGTCAACTTAATTTAGTCGTATCTGACGTAAAATGGCTTAAGAGAGAAATCGCAATACATTCACATACCCAGCACCAATAATTTTCGTATTGCAATAAATCTTTAGTTGATTTCACTTGGTAATTGAACTCAAGAATGTGTACTTTGGCAACACATTCAAGAGGAAGTTTAACATTTTCACTGTCCGATTTTCAGACATCATAGTAAGACAAAAGCAGTGAACTAGATGTGTAGTACACGGGACAGCGAATGGGTTAGGTTTATTACATATTGTCTTTAGAAAGATCAATGTAAAAAATTGCCTAGCAAGTCAGGGTCGATCAAAGGCAAGACTGAAACTAAACATTAGATTTAATGACGAATAATGTTTTACAACAAAGATTTTTTTTATTCAAAAATATAAAAACACGAGTGCGAGCGGTTTACAAAGCGTAATTTACATAATATACATATGTATATTTATACGAACGGCCTGTAAAATCCATTATGTTGATATTATACTTTTTTTATATCACAGCCCATTTGGAATTTACTACACATATGTAATTAACACGTTCTTTTGAAACGAAGGCCCTAAGTATTTCGGTCTTATGATGAAGTGCACTTTCATTTGTACACGGCGTTTTAACCAACATTTAATTTTATGTCAATAATTTCGCCATTATTATATTTTTACTAACAGGTAAGGTTCGGATGCGCTGGTCGTACCACACAAGATATTAATGTATCAAGATTAATATATTTTATATGGATTTTAATTTGAATGTTAACCTTTTCTATTTTCCCGAGAACAATTTTATGTGCGTTGAATTTCATCGGTGTTTGTGTTGCCAGATTTATGCATTTCTACAAGTTTGGCACAAATTTATAAGTTTTGAAAGTGGTGGCATAGATTATGCTACCAATGTAAGTCATTGGCGGTTATAATTTTGGTTTGAATTTGACGTAAAATTTTAATTATCTTACTATAATTAACAATATTATTGTGATAAAGTATCATTCTACACGAAGAAGAATTTTGTACTTTTACACACTTGGTACGACCGGACGTACGTACATCTTACCAGAAACACGTAATAAAATTTAACAAAATATAGGACATTACACTCCGATAGTGATATTTATCGTAGTACTTACATTATTGTGATCAGTGTGGCGTAGGGAGACAACAGTGCTCGCGACGCCAAGAGTCTTACGCGCATCTTTGCTACATTTAACTACGGCTAAGAAAATCAACGTATAACGGAACGCGCCAAGGACACCTATAGGTCACCAGCGACCACTACACTACAAATACAAACAAAACGATAAAGGAGACAAAGATGCTTGTGCGACACCGGCGCTACAATTATTTATGCAATATACAATCATTAAAATACATTTTTTTCTTACATTTTCAACTTACTTAATAAATTCAGTTTGGCTTAGTTCAAGCAAATAACTAGTATAATAAATTTATGTTAAATGTTTCAGTTAAACGTTAAGTACTTAGAAGTAGAAGGATGATTACCAATGACAAAATTTTTATAACGTGTTATTTTTATAATAATAATAATAATAATTTAATCAAAGTTAATAAATTGTATATATAATAATATAATAGAGTAATTTAATGATTAATCCATAATGATAAGAATGAAGCATTCCTACGCGCTGATTCAATAAATTACTTTAACTAATTTAGTATACTCGCCGAGGGGGCTTGCATATTTTTTTAGGTAAGTATGTAGTTAATGATATTATTTACTATACAATAAATGTGTTTTAAATTCCTTGGAATTGTTGATAATACGCGAACAAGAGCGCCTCGGGCGAGAGGAACAATCCAGCCGCCTCCTGAAAATAAAATGTTTTTTTAAAAATAATTTCACAATATAATACAATCAATATTAGCATTATTAGACTGTATGAGACAAATGTAAAACTTTTTTAAAGACGTTTGGCAGGCAGATTTCAAAAGATCCCTCGCTATTATTACATTTATTATAACCGCTGGCTTTCATGTGTACAGTAAATGTTTTTAGGTAGTTTTGGTCGTACGGACCGCACAGGGGAGACAATTGGTTGTTTTGTCCAGCAGTCAGTGCTGATGCAAGCAACATAACAAAATGGAGTATACTACAAAAGATCGATATAAGAATTTATGCAATTGGTTAAAAAAATGTATTTGCTTAAATTAACCCCACGAAAATTGTTCATTGCCCATAAGTCGTTCTGACACCTAATGTAAATGTTGTATTTGTATTGTAATGTTGCCATTTATCAGAGGCTGTAAAATCTTCCTAATTTTTCCAGTGTCGACGCCTACACTAACTATTGGATAAGATAAGGTGATTGGTTTGTCGCCCACACGCAGCAAATTATAATTTTTACGATAATTTTTGTCTTTACAATATACTATGTACTTGTGATGTTGTACTTGGTGTATTTATTTAAATACATTTGTGTTTTTTATAATAAAATAAGGATGACATACAAGCACACAGTCCAGTCCACCTGATGGGAAGTTGATCCAGTTCAGGTAAGTAATTCAGAGACATCTACATCTATCATAGATTAAGAATCAAAAAACAGATGCTCCGTCATCCCATAAGACTAAGATGGAATGTCTCGTCCAGTAAAAGAGTGTTCTGTGAGAGCGTGGTCTTTACTTGGTCGAGCAGACACATTGGTGCTACATCCATAATATAGCTGCAACATGGCTCTGTCACGTAAGAAGCAGCAGCAGAAGTTAATATTACCGGTCTCTAAGCTCAGTGTTGTGAGAATAACGTACAGCTGAAATTATTCACCTAAATAGCTAGTTATAAAAGAAATATTCTAAAACAATAATTTTTACATTCCTAGTGAGCTAATTAGATTTATATTAGATAGAATTAGCTTGTTGTATGCTACAAGAAACCAAAAGTATAGTACGTACCATGGCCGCGTCGTGAGCGCGCAGGGACGGCGTCTTGGGTTAGTAAGGCCGATTGGCATCCTTGGGTCTCTTCAGCTGGACCTTCAGTCTCTTCATGCCAATTTGGAAGCCATTCATGGCCTGGATAGCTGCCTGAGCAGATGTCGGGTTGTCGAATGACACGAAGCCTGGAAAATACAAATCACTAATTCCAGTTATTTGAAAATAAAATTATGCCTTAAGTTTATTAAGTCAGTTAGTACTGATAATAAGAATTAAGCTTTAGGATGTTAACGCAAATTCTTGTGACTATGCTGTGATTGTCTTAAATTACTTGACCATAACAGTTGTAAATGGTATCGAGAACTAACCGAAACATTTGCTTTGATTGGTGGCACGATCAATGAACACCTTGCTGCTAATCACGTTTCCAAACGGTAGAAACATCTGCATCAGTTCAGCATCACCAAATTCCTGGGGGAGGTGGTAGATGAACAGATTGCAGCCCTCGGGCCCCGAGATGGAGCAGCCTGGGAACATAAGGAAATCTTTAAAGAACTCACAAATCTGCCTCTGGTTAGCAGCATTGAAAGAAATGTAAAACAATTTTATGTACATACTATATAATATAATCTAATACACTACATACTGATATCATATACTCTACGATTACAGAACAGCAAAACATTTAACATAGAAGACGACATAAACACAATCCATTAAAATACAGCAACACACATTCCATCAAAATAATATGGGTGTAGAAGTTGCTTTATATGCTGCAAATTCCAGCAACGTTGCACCTGTTGAAAAAACATTTTCAGTTCTGGCAAGGGATAAATGTATCGAAAATATTAATCTTAGAAAAGATAAAGAAGGATTACTTGAACAATCATATGCTGTAAATCGGCTAGTGAAAAATAGCAAAAGCAGTTTGACTTTATACAATATGTACTGTAGTTTTAATAATCAATCCACATTTAGACGCGTAGCCATAATTTCTATTAATAATAGTAAATGAGAATATTAAGCACGTATTTAGCTTTAATAATAAAGAATTGGTATGAATACTAGATGCAGAATAGATTTTTGGAAGATATGTAATTTTGACATGGAGTGATTTGCGTGTGAAAACATAACGGAAAGGGAACCATGCTAAATATTTCTTTATATTGGTGAAAAGAAAGTTTTTAAAGAAGTTTTTTCAGTTATTCCTAGAGAAGTATTATTTGTTGATAATATTTGAGGTAAAATATAACATTTTGGTAGTCACTTTTCTTTTTTACCTAAATTTCCTTTTTAGAGATACTGTTGAATAAAGAGTCTACAGTTCACTCCTGATACTCTACTACAATATTTTCACTGAGCTAAAGATTCATATAAGAAATCAAAGTTATTTGGATGATGTACTGACTGACACTGGTTTCCTTTTTAAATCGTTAGGTTAGATTCATCGCAGACTTGGTTACCAATAAAGTCTTCGTCTCAGAGCTCCACTTACCTTCTCTTTGCGCTGGAGCAATGGTAGACATCGGTGGAGGAATGGGCTGCGGAAACTGCCCATAAACCGCTGGATAAGCTGTAGAACATCAATTTGCACATTTCACAATGAACACCTATTATGTTGCGTGTACGCATACATGCATTAAATAATAATAAATACACAGATTATAAAGCTATAATCTACATATTCAAATTTTTATATAAAGGATTGATAAATAATTTTTTTAAGTTTCAGTGTACGTACTTCATGGTTAATACATAATATAATATAACAAATAATATAACGTTAATTAACCTATGTAAAGTAATACTTACTTTTTACAATGTTATGTGTCAAGGTTCTATACTAATGTAATGTCAATAAGAAAGTGTTACTTAAGAGTTTTTGAATTTAATTGTAATGTTATGTTGTAAGTTAGTATATATGTGTTAAGTTTGTATAGTACGTGTTAAGATTGTAAGCTGATCGAAATGGAAAGTAGGGATATTAATACAATGATTGTAAAGCATAAATACCACTAATAAACTACACGCCGTACAGACTCTTACATAAGTAATATAAACAAATAAACACTGAACATACAACTACTGGAAGTGAGCGCACGATAATATTCATCATCAGTAGCGTGCTATGTGGATTAACAGCGCATTATACTTTGGCATCATTTTCCAACATTAAACATTTTACAATATATAACAGTGATTTATATTACACAAGTCAATGATCGACCTTATACACCATATTACAGCGAATCAAATAGCATGACTATAAGAATTTGTTTTGTTATTGGACTACTCAAAGATCGATCAATGTTTATAAAGTAATAATAAAACAGAAGCTTATGTTAACTACTGCAGATACCACACCAATCAAGAATGAATAATAGTTTATGTAGGGAATTATTGATTAGACTGAATGTAATTTTTTTTATGCAATAACGTGTCTTAAAACCTAAAATGAAATCGGTTTTGGAATATAAATAAATAGTAATCGGTGAATGTTTTTTTTTGAATATGTTTGATTTCACACATCTCATTTGGAATGGTCGTTTTTGTTATTTCCCTTTATTTATTTCACAATATTTATTCTAAATCTTGTTATCGTTATCTTATTGTTAAAAAAACTTTTGAAACTATTAAAAAATGTTTAGTCAAAAAGTCAGTTGCGATAATCATAAGATTAAACAAAATTTAGATTAAATAAAAAAACCTATCAATTGAAGAACAAATGAAAATTCCTTAATAAAGTATAATAAATAAAAGTACCAGAAAGAAACGAAGACAACCAACAATTGCTTGTGAATGAGAAAAGTAAAAACTTCAAACAAATATGACGTACATATCGAAGTTATTACCGAATAAGCAATACTTTGTTTAATTTGTCAGATGTCAAATTAGGGTTTTGGTTTGTTTGTAAGTATGTCAAAATTTTCCAATAATTGGCGAATCAATCGACGATTGTTTTTTTGCAATCTATCAAAATATTTACTTCATAACATTGGAATTTTGCAGTAAAATTGCATTTTTATTGAAATGTGAAGCATTAGTAATAAGCTAACACAGTTTTTAGTGATTTATCGATGTTTTCCAGCCGCTGTTTTGCTTGATTGTATTTTTTGTATCAATTTTATTAGTTGTCTAATAGATCTTTTGTTGAATCATATTCACAATTAATGCTTCAACGTAATAGTTTTTGAATATTGAATTTATATTGTAATATATTGCGTACATACAGTAAAAGCAAACGATTTGAAAGCTGTTACTCACCGACTCCGGGGAATGGCTGCATGCCTGAAAAGGCCGCATGCTGCAGCGCCGCTGCCTCACCATTAGGCAGGCCTTGGGCCGTCACTGGGACTGCTGAAAGGAACGTCAGGGATATTTGTTATGATATCTTTTATAGTGCGTTTCAAATTGTGTGATGATTATGAGGCCTCTCCTTGTAAACATTCACTAATTTATATCATCGTACACATCTCTGAGGAAAAGCAGAAAAAACGAGTGACATCCGTCCAATAGTAGAATTACATTTTCAAGTAATGCATGTATAGTGAGGACTAGTATTGTGACATCCAAACCACACCAAGTATCGCGATTATTATAATTATTCCCATCTTTGTCTTCTTCTTTGTATTTAATGATATCTTTTGATATGATGCTGCTAATGTCCTGTTGGTCATTCTCATCTAATGAGCGTTTTATGAACGGATACGGACTGCTTACAAATTCCTTACAATATAGAAGGTGATTGCCGCTAGGGGGCCCAGGCTAGATTAAGGTACGTGAGGGTAATATGGTCGCCTTTTGGTTTGTCACCAAGCAAAACCAAAACTAGGAGGAGGACCGAGGCAACAAAACAAAGTCGTATACTATAACTAAATTATCAAGAAAAAAACTAACAATTTTTAGCAATAATTAGGAACACATAGAAGAATCAAGTTAAAAAGTCAGATAATAATCATACTTAATATAATGTCAACTGTCAAAATGGCGTCGATAAAACACCGTCCTTATGAACTTTTATTATTCGATTGACTAATGAAGAGATGTCGTATCACAGAGCCATTCAGCAAAAAAGCTGTGGTTTTTGAGTTATAAGAAAGTGATCATATTAAACGTCACATACGCAACGATATCTACATATACAACGATATAAGTTTAAATTAATGCAACTATTGTGTAGTATTCCGCGAAAGTCAGTTCTTTCCTGGTCAAACAAGCCTTCTTATATAGCAACAATCTTTATTTTTAAGAATAGCGTTTCACCTTGCAAAAATTTATTAAAATTATTTCAGTAATATAAAATATTATTATGTTGAAGTTCGAATTTTACGATATTAAATTATGTTTTATCTAATTTAGAGCTGATTTTTCAATCATCGACAAAATTTATTAAAAGGATAAAATGGGACATGATTAAATTAAAAATTACAATTGTATGGAATAAATTTTCTAATATTACCTCAATATAAATTAATAACAATATTACAATTATTTCATTTTTATATTCTGCCACACAATGATTTATTAGATGGATATAAATTTTATTTCATGATTGAAAAATCGGCTCTTAATCTTCTAAAAAATCCTTAGCTTTGAGTTAATTATACACGCGACTTACGTCCAGTGAACGTCTGATGTATGCCATTGGTGTACACGGCATCTTGTGGTGGCGGCTGGCCGTTGGTCTGCGCCGCCATGTTAAAGCCAGGCATGGTGGGCGACGGCAGAGATGGCAGCGCGCCATTAAGCGGCTGCCCTCCACCAGTGCCTATTGCCAGACCGGAGAAATTTTCTGGAAATGGTGAATTTGGTGGTTATTATTTATTTTTTGTTTATCTGTGTATGACGCACTCAGAGCCCCCCCCCCCCCCCTCAAATACACACACACGTACGACATTTTTTTCATATTATTATGGAACACTGTGGTCAAAAGAGTTAAAGCCTTTGTACATGGCGACTTTTCATGCGTAGTTGCAGGGCATCAGACGATTCCAATCAGATTTAAACTAAATGAGCTTCGAATAGCATGCAATCGCAACCTGTCTCGATCGGAGTCGTGGTTTTTGCCGAATCATTAATTTTTCTTTTTCTACCGACTTCGAAAAGGAGGAGGTACTCAATTCGAATGTGTGTTTTTTTGTAACATACACACAACCTCATAACTTTTTTCTGGGTGAACCGATTTCGACGATTCTTTTTTTATTTGAAGCTGGTGTTAAAAGCTTTTCATGTGGTCCCATATACTGACCAATAGTTTTTGAATTATTCTTAATAATTCATATTGAAGTCGGTTGTACAAAATTTTAAATTATTATAGCAAGACAACTTCACCCTTTTTTTGCCCTATAAGTTGGAATTTTTTTTCTAATTTGTATTGGATTACTATAGTAAAGTTAGAAACTTCACCCCATATTTATTGCCCTTTGGGGTCAAATTTTTCTTGTAAATTTTATGGGATCATCCCTGAAATATTACTTATTTATTCCAAAATAATTTACATTTGCAATTTTAAGTGCTGATTTACCACGTGCTAGGCGGTGAAGGAAAGTAACTTGAAGAAACCTACATATTTGAGAAATAAAAAATGTTCTTATTGAGGCAGCGCGGCGGATATTTCCTTGTCCTAAAACCCTCTGAAAAATGAGAGGAGAACTGTGCCTAGAACAGAAGAGCACAGAATGTGAGTCGTAAGGCTGTAATTTTGCTTTTTACATTTTTAGGATAATTTTTCTGGTCGGTTATAAAGTGATGTAATATATAATAAACGTAGCAAGCTAACAGCATAGCAAAGTGGCGAAGCAATCAGCTTTGTAGCGGTTTCTAACGGTTGCCGTTGAGCAATGAGTTTCAAAATAGGAGGTTCAGATGCCTGGGTGATCAGTAATCGATTGCTGAAAACAAAATTTGAAAATTCAAAACCGTTCTCGAGATAATCGTGGGACGGACGGACAGACGGACAGACGGACAGACATCGTGAAATCAATAAGTGACTTCCCAAGCTTCGCCACTTAATAAAATAAGTGAAACAAAAAAATGTAACAACATTTTTTAATATACCACGTTTTTTTTTTCATATTCTTACATTTTCATTTGATTTTGAACTAGTTTTATCATATTATATGTTATATTTATCATATACATATTGGTTTAAAACCTATTACTAAATTCCACCCGAATCGACATACACGACAACAAGTTAATTAAAACGTGGTAATTACTATAATTATCATTATATATTCAATAATACTAAGTAGGCTCATAATAATCAAACAAAAGTTGCTTACAAAATTCTTAGTAGCTGACTAATTAACAAACTTACTGAGTTAAATAAAACTTTTCGGAGTAAAAGATATAATAATTTAAAAACTTTGAAGAGATAAATAAAAAAAAAAATCCTTTCGTCCCTAACTTGTCGGCGGAACTAAATTATTCTTTTATTAATTTTTTTAAGAATTAAGACATGATGAAAGTAGTGAGAAATATTGCTTGAAGAAAAATTGTATAAAATCTTTTCGTAAATCTTCTCTTTAATTACTTGGGAAAAGATCAAAAGGCTGTACGAGCTTCCGGATGGGTGCTTTCATCTAAGCTTCGTTTGTCTTATACAACGACTCTACGTTTTACTTAACGTTTATCGATGCTTTTAAAAACATAATTCACTGTAATATTAAATGAAATTGTAAAGTTATTGTCCGACTTTGCTTGTCCATGTTCGTTTGAAAAATGTATTTATATTTACATATTCTAAAAATCATGACTTAACGTTTTTAAACCATAAATAATTTTGCTTTTCATTAAAGAACTTGGCACTATAATAGAAGTGCGAGAGTGATAAGGCTTCCATTCAAATTATTCGGTGTTATAGATCACTCAACTAATTTGAATGATTCACTATAATTATTTACTTGACTCGTCCTTGAGGTCATCTGTCGAAAACTCCAATTCGATTCCGACTAAACGTTCAATATTTACTCACGCATATTATGTACGTTAAGAAATCGTTAACAGAATTGGAATAATTTGATCTAGAACGCCAATGTATTGAAAGGTTCCAACTATTCTTTCTTTTTCTTTCGCGACTTTCGCATTCTGTTAGTTACATATTAAGGGCTCGAATTATCAGATCACTCGCAGGCGCGCATATATCATTTTTTATTATTTAAGTTTAAAAAAAACGTTACCGTAACTCACTAGCATTTTCTCCGGTATCGTGGAGGCAATTTAAAAACACAAATTGCACAAGGACAAACATCCAGACACGGAACAATTATTTGTAGGCCATACAAATACTTGTTCTGTGAGGGATTCGAACCCGCGGCCTCCAGCGCAGCAACTCATTGCTAAGCCACTGCGGCACGGAGCCGTCGATATATAAAACATTATGTAGAGTTACGATTAAAAATTATTATCGCATTTCTGAATTTATATAATTTTAAATTCTATTCAAAAACATGTGTAAAGAAAAATCTGTAACATTGCGCTTACTATTATTGTTACACAATAGGCGGTAGGACTTCTGCCTAAGAGTCGGTCTGGATAGGTACCACCTATCCATTATTGCTAGCAAATAGCAGTGCTTGCACTGCTGTGTGCCGGTTTGGTCGTATAGAGCCATTAAACAATTTTTGAAGCATTCCATGTAAGCTCTCAGATATGATAACGCTCTGTGGACTTCTTTGTTTGAAGTTGGCTGCAAGTGTCCATGAACTTTATAACGTGGTAGAGCCATGCTGTAGCACGAATGGTTCGGCTCGACCGGGGAAGGACCACGCTCTCACAGAATACCAGCGTAAAATAGCAGTTTAACGCTGCTGTGTTTCGTATGGTGGAAACGAGGCATTCCATCTTAGTCCTCACAGGTGACAACGCATCTGCATTTTGATTATTTATTGAGGATAGATGTAGATGTCTATGGGCCACAGCAACCACTTACCATTAGGTGGACTGTGTGCTCGTTTGTCACCCTTATCTTATAAAAAAAAACTAACCATCAAGTCGAATGTAAGTTCATTTGTCTCTTGAGTTTAATAAAAAATAATATTACTAAATAAGAAAAGTTTAAAGTTAAATGTATACCTGAAGTTGGTGGTACGACAGAGTTGGCCATTCCATTGAGCGCGTGGGACGCGAGAGCCGTCATGGGACTGATGTAGCCCTGAGCTGTCGCCGCCACCATCAGCGCTGCCTGCTGCTGAGGGATTTCAAACTTTGTACAACAATAAATATTAGTTCACGACCATGTGTCTCAACGGTTTACGTATTTGCCTATTTAACAGTGGTTTCGGATTTCTCGTGAAATTACCATTAGTGAAATTATTGTATGAAGTAAATCCCATCCTTAATGTTGTAAGAGTTTCGTTAGTGTTGTCGAAAAGAACTTGTAGGTGCAAAACGGGGAAATGGTTCAGTAGAAGGCGAGCAAGTGCTTCTGTTCGTGATAGTGTCACATACAAATATATCCCTGCAAGATGACAGTCAATTGACAGCGATCTGTGCAGTGTAGTCGCGGTGAAGGAGAATCCGCTGCTCCATATCATCCCGTGGGCATCGTAATGGACAACAGAATAAAATGAAACAGGAGATGGACAGGAGCATCTTCCTGATAATAACTTTAAATAGTAAAAAAACTGCGGTTGCCATACCTCTTGCCAAATATGGCAAATATAGCAAAGAAAGGCATAGCAGTTGACTTATGATAAGCTGTAAAAAAATGAGAGCTTAATAATAGGAAATAAATAAAGAAAAACTACATATTTGAAATTCAAGCTGAAAACAAATAAAAGAACAAATAGTTAGATCATTAGTGGACCGTTCTGGTATGCAGTAAATATATGTATTGTATGCAGTAAATTTAGGAAAGTGGTTTCCTAAAATTTTAAAATGTATTAAAGAATTTATAATCCCCCCACTTAATCATAGCTTTAATAGGTGTCTAGAAGAAGGTATTTTTCCAACAGTTTTAAAAAGGTCCATCACAATACCAGTTTTTAAAAACGGAAAGCGTGACATCATCACTAACTATCGTCCAATATCGTTACTCCCGTCTATGTCTAAGCTCCTTGAAAGAATAATAAACACTAGACTTATAAAATATTTAGAAGATAATGAAATTCTCTCAAATGGTCAATTCGGTTTTCGAAGAAGTAAATCAACTACGGACGCTATACATATTTTTACAGAATTTACTGTGCAAAAATTAGATTCCAATAAAAAATGTATCACAATCTTTATTGATCTGCAAAAAGCTTTTGACACTATTTCATCTTCTAAACTGATCGAGAAACTTGAAAAAATGGGTATTAGAAATGTACAATTACAACTTTTTAGAGATTACCTACAAAATCGCTCACAACGAGTTAGGATAGGAGAGATTTTTAGTGATGAAAGACCAATCAATTACGGAGTACCACAAGGAAGTATTCTCGGTCCAACTCTCTTTCTTTGCTACATAAACGATCTTTGTCAATTAAACATCCCAAATTGTAAAATAATCTCATATGCTGACGACACATCTCGTTCTACGGTGACTCTTGGGAAGAAGTTTTCAAAATTGCACAGGATGGTTTCAATATAGTGTGTCACTGGCTTGCTCTAAATAGTCTCACTTTAAATACCGATAAAACCAAATATGTAATGTTTTCCATCCGAAATTCAACCTGTATTACAAATAAATTTAAAATCATAGCACATTCATGTAATATGACCTCTATTTCAAATTGTAAATGTCCTGATATTGAAAATACAAATAACATAAAGTACCTCGGCATAATAATAGACAAGAATCTAACTTTCAAAGAACATATAAACTATTTAGTTCAAAAAATTAGAAAGCTTATCTACATATTTAAAAACTTAAGACATATCGCAAATTGGAATTTAATTAAAACTGTATATGAATCGTTAGGTAAATCTATCCTGTCCTATGGCATTTCTGTATGGGGAGGCTCTAGTAAAACATTAATGATGGAAGTTGAAAAGGTACAAAGGATGATATTAAAAATTGCCTTGAAATAACCTAGAAAGTATCCGACTACGAACTTATACGCAGAAGCCAATGTGTTAACGATTCGAAAAATTTACATATTATCAATAATCTTAAAAAAACATAGTTGTATTGATTTGTTGGATAATATAAGGAACTCTGGTACGAGGAGAGATTATGAAGTCTGTGAAATTATTCCGGTAAAAACATTTTTTGCTCAAAAGTTTTTCAGTTTTAGAGGTAGTCGATTATATAACAAAGCAAACAAATTACACCGTATCATTAACCTAACTAAATTTGAATGTAAAAAGAAAATTTCAAATTGGCTGCTTAAACTTGATTACGAAAAAACAGAACAATTACTGCAGATTGCATCTTAACATACCACGTACGAGTTAACCCACACATACACACATACACACACTCACACATACACACACACACACACACACACACACACACACACAAACACACAAACAATAAGATTAACTGCTTGCGCGTATGCTCTCTCGCAAAAGGAAAAAAGTCTCTGCTATATACGTATAATAAAAAAAAAAAAAAGAAACATCTAGTTGATCATTCTAGATGGGGAGCCGGGAGATCCATAGCACAGGGTATCCTAGTGTGGACTCCCGTCTCCCACAAATTTATGTACCTCTTTGTTTTTTTTTTTATAAAAAATATATATGTTTTTAAAAGATAAAATATGCAATTGTACAATTTGTGGGAGAAAATAATAAAGGTTTATTTTATTTATTATTTATTTATTTATGCAGTAAATTTAGGAAAGTGGTTTCACTTAAAGTGGATTCTCAATGTAATATTTATAACATTTTATTCTCTTTATTTTATTTTTAGACTTTTTCTTAGACATTGCTTTCACTTTTACCTAAGGAATGTATACTCTCAGATGTTAATACTTTAAGCAAGCTGTTAGCGATATCTTGGAACCGGCTTTAACAATTTGAATCAAATTTTATGTTTCGATAACATTTTAATTTTAAGGTTTAACTAGATAGGTGTTATCTCTGAGAAAATGCATTGTTCTAACCCCGACCGAAGCTTGGTCACACAGATACTGTTCTCTTTCTTTATTATAATCCAAAAATCATTATATTTAGTAAGCTAATATCTTTTATACAAATAGGTCGGAGAAAAAGTTTCTTCGTAGGTACTTGGTTTGTATAAAATTGAAGAAAAATCTCTTTGGTTGTACGGTTTGTATCTGGCTGGTTTTAATATCAATACATATAGGATATTAAGGAAAAGAAAAATAAAAAGCAAAAAACACTATCACGCCATTTTTTAATTGTTTTTCTGTCCCCCAAAATGAGTGAATCTAACGAAGAAATTCTATACGTTCAGAAGTGTTATTATAAAAAAGGGAAAAATGCGACTCAAGCCGCGAAAAAAATTTGTGAAGTTTATGGTTCAGTGTCAGTAAGAGTAGCACAAAGTTGAGACAAGCGTTTTCAGTCCGGGAATTTTGATGTTAAAGATGCAGCTCGCTCTGGTCGGCCTCATGCGGATAAAGTCAATGCCATTTTTGAAAAAGTGGAGCAAGATCGGCATATTAATAGTTGCGACATAGCCGAGGAATTAAGGATTGACCATAAAACAGTTTTGACCCATTTAAAAAGCCTGGCTATACAAAAAAATCTCGATATAAGGGTACCACACGAGACAACTGAAAGAAACCTAATCAATCGTGTACTCATTTACGATTCATCATTGAAACGTAATGAAACCGAAACATTTTTGAAAACTTGATCACTGGTGATGAAAAGTGCATCATTTATTATGAGCTTTTACCACCGGGAGAGACCATCAATTCGGAACTCTACTGCCAACAACTAATGAGACTCAAGCAAGAAATTGAGATAAAACAGCCGGGATTGATCAACAGAAAAGGAGTGGTCTTTCATCATGATAACGCCAGACCATACACATCTTTGACCACTCAGCAAAAATTAAGAGGGTTTGTTTGGGAAGTGTTAATGCATCCACCAAACAGTCCTGACCTTGCACCCTCAGATTTTCACCTGTTTCGGTCTCTTCGGAATTCTTAAATTTGTATATAAAATACGAAGAAACTTTTTCCCCGACCTATTATTATGATTGTTCGTAATGAAATAGATAGGCGATATTAGATTGTGCCACTTACAAAATTTAGGGTATGTTAGCGGGTCTGATAAAAATAAATCAAAATAAATTCACACAAAAAGTAACGGTAAAAATATTTTTGTTGAGGAACTAAAGGTCAGGCAGCATGAGCGAATAGGCGTGGAATTAACTAACTGAACTGACTGAAATTTATTGTATAAGTAGGTTCTTTAAATTTTTCAATAGAGCCGTATGTTTAGCATACCAGATTCAGTTGATGATAATGAGTTACAAGTTTTTTTTTTCTTTTTGTTTCTGTCACTTGATAAGTCATTAGAATTAATATTCAAACTGTGAAAAAGTTTTCCTGCAACTAACCTGTTCGGTGATGACCTGCGCGTAGGTGCCGTATGCCCCAAACTGGTTGAAGACGAATGGGTTGAGGAGGCTCATGTTGCCGGCCATCTGTTGCATTCGTCGCAGTTGTCGCTCCTTCTCTGTGTCAGCAAACTTGACCACCAGACTCGAGGATGCACCCTGTAGCAATACAAACATTCATTTAGTTATAATGTAAGTGGAAGGATCTTGTTAAAAAAAAAAACTCAAAACACACTATATAAGTAAGTTGTTACACGTTACAAGTAGTTAAGTGCTAGTTCATAACTGATCATTAATAATTTTTTCTCTATTTGCTTAAAAAAACGTTATCCCCACACTAGGAATTACTTGCAGGGCATACAAATACATGTTCCATGCGGGATTCGAACCCAGCGCTGCAACTCATGTTAAGCCATTGCGCTACGGAGCTCTCAAATATCTTCCAAATTTAAAAACGTTTTATATATTTGTAGATATTATTTGTTGTAAGTACAATAAAGGTAACGTTTAGGATGTATACGTTTTGTTATTATACTTTTTAAATTAATCATAAATAGTTGTTATTATAATAATAAAGCCATGGCGCACACCATTAAATTACGTAGTACGCGAGCAAGCACGTTGGATTTAGTAATCTGGAAATACGTGAAAAATTCGTAACTTCCAATAAATAATAGTATTTTTAAATTTATTTTCTCCCAATTATACAATAAACGTTTTTAACATTTTTATCTGCCAAACTGCATTATAGTTTGTCGGCAGTGTTTTGGTCTTACATGCTTATGTTTATATAATCTGAAGTACAATTTCTTATACATATCCTAACATCTATTTTATTATTTTGTTATACATATTTAGTACAAAGTTTGTTATGAGGTCCACATCAGCAAAATATTAAAATTGGTTCATTAGTTTTTGAATTTTTTATATACATACTATATATACATATATACACTAATTCAACACACACTCAAATAGCACACATCGCATATAGATTGGTAATTTTAACAGTACGTTACGATACAGTGATAGGTAATGTTTTCGTTTTGTTTTGTTTTGTTAGGTATTGTTTGTAGGGTGAACAAAGAGTATATAATTACTACGTTTTACGTGTGAAGTTGAAATCATTGGCATCCTTTTAAAATAACAATATACTGATGATACAAACTACTTTGAGAAAAAGATAACACAAATCTAAAGCTCCAATAGGTATTGCAAGTAAGGAAAATGAAAAATCATATCAGTCATTTATTACTAACTAGCTGTGCCCGCGGCGTAGCTCGCGAATATAGGTTTTACTTAAAGAATTTGACGTTTAGGGTAAGAGAATATTAAACGATTTATATCATTACTGTATGAATAAGTGGTAACAAAATAAATCGATACGCTCAAAGTTCTAAGTCGTTTATGATAGAGCTTCCGTGTAAACGACGATAGAAGTAGACTTAGCCGGGGCGTACAGAAAAAGGTTGGCATAGAGTTGGCCATGTGCAAAACAATCAGTACTGGGGTCCACTCCTACAACGCGTAAAGTTTGACCTTGCGCTTTATTTACGATCGTCGCATAACACACGCTGAGTGGGAAACACACTTAAAATAGGGATGTTAGATGATCATCGATGTTAAAAATTAAAACTTCGATGTTTTAACATCGATGTTGACACATGTCAAACATCGAAACATCGACGTCAATGAACCCATAATCGATAATTGGGAACTTGCAAACAATGCGAACTCGCGAAATCAATATCAACTAAATCTTGCATCTGCTCTGAAGATTAAAAATTTAGAATAATTCAGAATTCCTGAACGCATCGTTAACCTAAAAAAAATGTCAGTATGGTGAGTCAAACTTAATTGTCAAGTGTCACCTGTGATGTCACAATGGTCACTGCTTTCGCTTTATTTTGTAGTGTCGTTGTCGGTTGTCGCATAATAACTATTCTACGTAAATTGATATTCAAGTTAATTGTTACTTTTCCCTTGATGTGTATACCCACATAATTTTGAAACAATGTGTAAGTATCTACACATATACAAAAACCATCGATAATGGTCATCATCGATGTTTTGAGTAGCCTAAACATCGAACATCTATGTTGAGCTATCGATGCCAACATCGATGTCATCATCGATGTTATTATCCCTATCTTAAAACTGTAAGGAAAGTTATTTGGGTATTAGAGGTTTAGAGGGATTCTGGGTATAAAACAATATCACGACATTTATTGCAAATTTACTACTTTTAGGCCCGCCACATACATACGGAATTCCGTTTCGAGATTCCGTTTCGGAATTTCGAACGGTCGGCCACACACAAACGGAATACCGTTTTGCCCGCAAAATATCGAACGGAAAACTACCGTACGTGTGTGGCGGGTCATAGATTTTATATGGACTTGCTACGTTCGGGATTCCGAATCGGAATATCGAAACGGAATCTCGAAATGGAATTCCGTATGTATATGGCCGGCCTTAGTCGAGTTTTCGAGTTTTGTTGAATAATTTCGACGTACGTACGTCTCTTTTTTCTGTTTCTGCCGGTGTTTGTGCTTTGTGTTGTTAACCTACACGGCTCTAACAGGCTTGCAGCTTCGTTGGACTCATGAACATAAATTTTTTCAGTGAGTGTCAATACGATTCACCTGCAAAAAATCTTAACACCGCAATTCAGAAAAGGTTGTAATTTGTACAACGCCATCTATTACGTTCTATGTGAGAAAACATCCTTTTTTAATTTAAGGAAAACATATTTTTTTTACTGTGTTTTAAGTATAAATATATTATAATAGAACGTTTTTTTTACACACGTATCTTTTTATTACTATTTCTGAGATTTTGTGGCGCCATTAAACAAATTCGAACCTACATTTCAAAATAATAATCATAACTTTCGATAGAATTAACCAATTTTAATAAAACAAAGATTAAATGTAACTCGAAGATACGCTTTATGATTTTCTTAACGATTTCTTTGAAAAAAAAAAAGATGTTTACTTTAGACGTGATGCTTTCATATAAAAACAGACAAACAGACAGAAAGACAATTCTAAAAATTATAAAAATGTACTTATTTAATTATTTTTAGTTCCCCATAATGATTTTAGTCACCATAATATATATATATACAATGTACAGAAAGAGACACAACATGTTATCATCATTTTTATTATATGTATATATTTAAAGAGAGATGGCGCTGCTAACATCAACTTGATGACTCAAACAAAGCCACCGTTGAGCAAATTCCCTACCCATACTTCAGAATATTTATCATAACTTTTGATGGAATGAACCGATTTTAATGAAATGAAGACTAAATGTAACCCGAAGGTTTACTTTATAATTTCCTTAACAATTCTTATGATATAAATTAGTACTTTAAACGTGATACGTTAACAAACAAACAGACAGACAGACAGACAGACAGACAGACAGAAAATTCTAAAAATGGTAGAAATATATTTAATTACTTATTTTTAGTACCCCTCAATCACTTTTATTACAAAAATATAAAATGTACAGACATCTGCTATTTACAGTTTTATTATATGTATAGATAATAAGTGAAAAGTATTGCAAATAAACACGAATAAATAATATATAATAATAAACACCAATAAATCGGTAATTCCAAAAATGTTGCAAAAACAGTTTATCGGTTAGGGTATGTAATGGTTTGGACAATGGCACATTTAAGGTCGATTGTATACTGAACAAATGAAACAAAAGCGTAAGTGCTTACAAGCAACACTCACCAGAGATAGCGATGCCTTCGTACTTGCAATTTTTTTACTTTTTTTGTTACCAATTCGATTGAGTTTAAAATATTCCTCAATATGAATAGAATAGTAGGTTCAATGGATACTAATTTCATGTTGTATATTGGATAGTACTATATTTCTTAATTTTTTGGTTACTTATCTTTTTGTGCACTCAAAACAATAATCATATCCACAATAATTAAAAGTAGGTACTTATATCACGATTTTTCGTCATCGTAACTCTAAAAGTAAGCTCTTAGATTCTGTGTTTAATATATTAGCAGGAAAGCCAGCGAAAAGGCACAAAAATTCACTCATTTGAACGATAATTATACAAAAAAAGCTACGAACTATGAAAGAAAATTGTAACGTAGCTAGAAAGTGCCTCTTTAAAAATGGAACTCCATTAGGCTCACAAAGGCAGTTCCGACGTTCGCGAGGAACTACAATGCGAGAACTAAACGGCAAACGCATTCATTATGTATTTCCCGGGGCAAAAATACCGAGCCGACGTAGGCCCGGCTGCGTGCAACAGGTTGCTTTCCCGTTCTATGCAACAAGTATTGGGCGGACATCCAAAAATGCATCGAGTCGGCACGCGAACTTTGCCGGCCGACGGGAAGCTGGCTTCCTATGCCGACATTCCACTTCTCTGATGTTAAGTAGGGGGGTAATTGGTCCGTTAAAGCCGCCAGTGATCCACTAGTGTGCTTATTGTAGGAGTGTTCTGTTGGAAAATTGGCTTTGGAGAACGATAGTTTTGGTGATATTGCGTTTCTAAGAGTTAAGTGAATTTTAATATGGAGAAGAGAATAATTTCTATGAGTATATTTTTGTTTGTATATTAATTGGCTTATGATCTGTTTATGAAGAGTCAAGTCCATCATTATCTTTGAAAAGGTTTTAGAATAAGCTTTACTGCTTAGTTAATTCAGAATAGCTAAATTAACTAAAACAATAAAGAAATAAGTTGCATTATTATTATCTGTACAGAATCCAGCATATTTTCATATCAACAGCGTTAGTAGTTTTTATTCGGTTGAATAGACAGGAAAATATTTGGGCACAAATATGATAATTTATTTTTTAAATATTTACAGGATGAAATTTTTGATTAAGAGCCATAATTATCATTGACGTTTTTGCTAGGGTTTTTTAGCTTGCAGCTCACGTAATGGTAAGTGAATACCGTCGCCCATGGATGACTGCAACACCAGGTGACTTACATTGAAGGTGTTTTAATAAGAAGTAATTTCTTAAAGGTCTCTAATTTGTATCGCTCCATAAAAATCGCTGGTCGTAGCCGATTTTACAAAGAAATCGTACGAGGAAGAAAACTTCAGGTAGACTATAAAGCATCCAGATGGTATGGATTTGGATAGTAAGATGTACGTGTTAAAGAACGTAATTATT